AATAAAGTACATATACAAACGCGAACAGTTCTCATTCGCTGCAGTGCGCGATGCATTCGATTACGAAAGAGCCGATACAGCTAAACTTTATCGATAATATACAGCGCTTTTACGTACACCCAGCTCGACTGAAGTTTACAATTAACACACCAACTATTGGGTTTAGCTAAACATTTCACAGAATTGCAATGAACTTGTTAAATGTACTGCTTACCAGGTTGCGGAACGTGTTCTTAGGTATATGCTTCACATTGTCGGGCGGTAAGTTAAGGAGAAATTGAAACACTGATTGTCGAGTCAATACTATAACTTTTAATAAGTGTGGGAGAGCTATGCTTCGGCACGAATGGGTCGGCTCGACCGGAGTGATACCACGGCCTCACAGAAAACCGGCGTGAAATAACCACAGCGTTGTGTTTCGCCGTGTGAGTGAGGTTACCGGAGGCCCAATCCTTCCCCTCCCCCAATCCCTCCTAAATCCCTAAATCTCCAAATCCCTAATCCCTAAAAGGTCGGCAACGCACTCGTAACTCCTCCGTTGCGAGTGTCCATGGGCGGCGCTGAATGCTTAGGTACCATCAGGTAATCCGTCTGCTCGTTTGCCGACCTATTAAATAAAAAAAATAAAAGAAGAAACCTATTAAAAATAGTCTGTTTCAACGCGCTAATCTGCGAAACTACTGGTTCAATTTCAATTATTGGTACTATGTCGGATAGTTCATTTATCGAGGAAGGTTTGGTTATTAAATATACAAATGAGAGTAGAGAAGAGTGTAACTCTGGGGAAGTAGTTAGAAAAGAATAGGTATAAGGCCATCATATGAATAATATTTTGAGATCGTAGGCATATGTATGTGCTCCACTGTCTTATTTGAGGATCAAATGATGATGATGACGATGAATGCCATTCATAGATAAGATTCGCTATGTTATTGTGAAAGTTTTTTTAAATGATGAATTTAACCTTTTTGGACAAAAACTTTAAACTACGATGTTGTGGTTAGTAATGCGTAATGATAAGGGTCATTAGTGGCTATGGGTAAGGAAGGTTTCCATTACAATCGTTACTATTTTATATTTCCTGTACGTCTCGAAGTTTATGTATATCAATTTACTTATCAACAAAATACATTTTTCTTTTTTTAATTATTACAATTATTACAGTATTATATTTATTCATCGTTTAAGAATGTAAGCTAGGAATGCATAGTAATTAATCCCACTATCGGTAATAGCGGTCGATGTTAGCCACGTCACCGTTTATTTGCACGGTGCCTGTTTGATTTGGCCCGTGCACTCGAAGGCCCCGTAAATCAAGACCAAATTACCTTGACCTGCCAATATTACCCTCTCAACCCTTTAGTTGTTCTACACCGTCAGCACAAGAAAGGGGTGGGAGGTCGTGTTAGATTGGACGTTATAATGGCACTTGTGTTTCGCAAACGATGTTTTATTCATGCCGCGATGCTCGACTGCTGCGAATAACCGGCTAATTATTGAAGTGTTCGGCGCTAAGATTTAGGCGCCCCGAGGAATCCATGGCGCAGCTTATTATTAATGTGCCGCTTCACTTGTCACGTTAATAAAGCCCCGATATGTAGGCATTTTCATTGCTTGCTCTACAAAATTTATAACCGAATTTATTACGGTAATGTCTTTTACTTATCTGATGTCTCTAATTTTTATTTCGACTCCAAATTCGGTTTTTCGAATACAGGAAAATTTGATCAAGAAAATACGAATGAAATGACATTTTCTGGTTGAGGAAAAACGTGAAACTTAATTCCGTATTCTTTTTTTTATTATTTAACGTTAGAAACCGTGAAAACGTAAACCTTATTACGAAAATTAGTTACGTTAAACCATTTCGTATGAGGCAAATTACTTTGGATATTAAATATCTGTGTTATGGCATTGCAAAAGTGACTTCTTACAGCTGTTAACGTCACTTGATGGTACTTGTCATTACGGCGGATGAGACGGCCAAATGAGTTTTTCGAAAATGAGATGAAAAGGATAATGTTATAGACAACGAGGAGTGACGTAACTAAATAGCAAAAAAAGCATCAATTTAATAAAATGTTTTTGACTATGTACTCTGCTTTTAGAAGACTGATAAATACTGCTCTCCGAAATCCACAAATACCAATATATAATAGTTGTTTTACTTTACGTTCTTAAGGACCCGTAAAACAAAATAAAACAAGTAAGTAATCTGAATAAATACGTCCGCGCTATATTAAGTCGTAAATACCGAGTACACCCGGACCCCGCAATGTACCGATTACGTAGGCTAATGAAATTATCCTCGCTATGGCCGAAATTAATTCGAACGACCTCGAGACCTTTTAAATATTACCCCGAAGGGTGAACGCGTGATGCGATAAAAATACAACTTAACACCCTTCTACTGATGTCGTGTTGATGTAGATTTTGGTATTTTAATACTATTTAAACCGAGCTTTTCAACTTGGATAACTCTTGGACCCCAGTCAATAATTATTTTTGGTGATTGGTGGTATAAGAAAACTTTACTGTCTTTAAAAAGACTGTAGCACTAACTAAGCACAGAAAAAAACACCCAAATCTGAATTCGAAATCTAAGATATAAGACTTTAAAATTACAGATAATTGTATAGATAAAAGTGTATTTAATATTTTTCGAGAAAAAGTCAATAGCTTTTGATTAAAAACATGATTCAGGGATCCTAATATCCTGCTGCAGCATATTGTCATAAACACGATATCTTCAGTAGAACCCATTTTCTCACGAAACCCTCAAAGCATGTCGATACGAAATGAGGATAAAAATATATTGCACATATAATATTATTTCCTTCCAGTGAAAGGTGCATGAAGAAGTACAAGTTTGCTTTGATTGAATTGCTTTTACCTACAAAGTCGTATGAGGTATGCAGGTTACATTTTATATAAAGGTGAAACCACTATATTTTTAGGTTAGATTTCCTTTCAGTCTGCAATTTCTAATCATCATCATCATCATCATCATCATCAGCCCTTTTCAGTCCACTGCTGGACATAGGCCTCTCCTATTGCACGCCACTGGGATCGATCTTCGGCCACCAATTTCTAATATCGAATTCATTTTTACTTTTTAAGCGTGTATTTGAAAATTGCATGAGTCATGTTTTTTTTAAGTCGTAAGTAGTTGTAAAGTTCGTATGTTCCAAAAAGCGTGTATCTCGCGCAGGTCGTGTTTGTTCCATCTTTGCACAATGATGTATGTACCTAGTTGAAAATTGTTAGACCACTTTATGTATACCAAACCCGATCAGTAAAATTGTAGAAAAATAAACATAGTTCTCTATAAAGTAATTATTTTGTAATAATTTACTTACCTGCCTGTTAAAAGTTGTTTGCAATACTATAAATAAAATTAATAAAATTTGATCCAATTGAAACGTTTCACGTCAAAGGTAGCAATTTTCACGATATTCAGACATGGCTGGCGTCAGGCGTGTGTTATGTATAAATGACGAGATGTGTTTCAATGCATGTAGCCTGGTTCCGAATATGTTCCGCAACGTTTCAAAATAAACTCCCAATTACTGTTATTGATATGTTATGATGAATGATTGATTGATTCGTTGACTCTGTTTCATATTTTACATACATATTAAGTTAACGTGTTTGTTTTGATACAGGTTTACTGGTTCCCCGTACACATTGATGGATTGTTTTCATTTGAAAGCGGCTAGAACGATTTCGGGTGTTTAGGAATTAAAAATGTTTACATGTATTTGGATTTTTTTACAATTTATTTTTACCTTCAAATGGGGTTCCATTGTCCATACCGAATTCCACTTGTAGACAGGTCTGGCAGTATGTCTGAATAATCTTGATGTACCTTCACATCTTTGTCGTCATATCAATCAATGTCGTTTAAATTCAAATGAAATATTGTGAAATTATTTAATATTATGATTGTGTAGTGTAGTGGTTACTTTTATTCACGATTATTTAGTTACTAAAATGTTACAAAGACACACTGCAAAACCATATTCTCTAATCATTGTCCCTGGATTTTTTTATGCAACGTTTTTATGTATTTTATAGATATCCATAACAAATGTATCAGCCTGTAGTAAGCGACTTTTACAAACTTTTAAATATAATTGAAGTAAATATTTTAAAGCAAGTAAGTATCTTCTCCAGAGACAGTTTTTAGCCTGCTTCGAAGTCAGAAAGCAAACAAGTTAAATTGTTTTTATTGCACCCTCGGGCACTTGTGGAAATACACGTGAGAAAAAAGCTTTGCTTAGTTGTGAGTGGAATTACTTGTTGCCTTATACGAGTGTTACTAAGTTGCAACGATCTTACAAAGATTACTTTGAGAAAATGTACCTCCTTCGTTTTAACACAGTGCCCTCGTTTTTCCCTATATTATTAAGGGAATAACTGGTTCTCGATTTTATCTTTCCAGTGCTTTTTTTAATTTGTTCACAAAGACAGCTATAAAATAGAAAGACAGGTCGACAAAGGCAAACCGGTGCGGTAGCAGGGGACACAAAGAATTTTACTCAAAGGTTTTGCTTTCACTCGTAACGGACGTCAGATAAATTTTCAAATAAAATTTCATAAATATTTTTGATATATTCACGGTCAGGCTTTTCATACTTTGCCCGCGTGGCTTATCTGGATTATCTCGGGATTTCCCACAGATTTTTTTAACTTGTTCGCGTTTGTGCGTCCGCTTATTGCGTTTTATCTGGCGCGTGATTTGCCGTGGTGCCGCCCGCGCTTCGCCAAATATGTTTATCGCACCCTAAATTCCCCTTTATGTTTATGGAGTTCGTTCGAACGTAAAAAATAATGCTAAATGAAGAGCGGAACCCGCCGCGAGAGTTACTCTTTATTAAAATTTAATATCTCTCAAGCACCTTTTGTGTTCGGAAGCGTGGGTACACATTACAATTACATAGATCCTTTTAATTAAGTTGTTCGACGAGAAAGTCTAATTTAATCTTTTTTTGTTGCAGGTATTACGAGGTGGGATGACACAGTGTTTGATTAGGTCAACACTGAAGACGTTCAGGAAATATTAGTTGGTGTGCTTGATAAAAGTGCGTGGGTATTCCTTATGATAAGAACTTAGCAGTTGGAACGCGAGGTTGTTATTGTGTCGGTGGGTCGCAGATGCGGTTGTGATTGTGTAGTGTAGTGGTTACTGTCATGGTGACGTTATGGCGCGCGCTGGCGCTGCTGGCGGCGCTGCACGCGTGCGTCGCGCTCCCCGAGCCGGTGTATCACGACCAGTTCGCGGTGCACGTGCCCGCCGGCCCGCACCACGTCGATGACATCGCTAGGAGGCATGGCTTCGTCAATCATGGACAGGTAAGTCCACTATTCATTGTACAGACGTTGTCTCACACACACATGAACACCATTTTTGGCATACCCAGATCCAGATTAAAAATATTTTTGATAATAATAAAAAGGTCATTTGGTCTGTAAGTAAATTAACGTGCGTAGTTCCGCAAGCATTACGTTGCTTGGGCAAAAAACGTGATTAATAACAGGTATACATACTTACAGACTCTTATATGTAATTATATAAGACACACATTATGGCAAAGTTTTCGAGCGTATCCAATTAGAACGCAATTACTTTTCTTTATGGTTTGTTTTGTTTTACTGTAACCTACCTACAGCATAAGATTTAGGAGACATGACATTTCTTACGCCACGGCCCGCTAAGGTTACAAAAACCATTAATTATAATTATCTTTGCTTTCGTTAATTAATTATAATTAGACCTTTGTTGTAGTCTAGACGAGTAATATGGTCTCTGGCAACCAAAGAGCCAATTAAGTTAAATTTCTTTGTTATACAAAAAAAGCTAGATTTTATCGAATAAAGGAAAACGTGATCGGATAGACAAAGCTACAGTTACTGTTTATTTTCATTTATTTAGTAATATTAATTATTGTCTCCTTGATATAATAATGAATTTACTGTTTAAATTTTAATAATAAACCTCTTTTTTATAAATCATGTGAAATTATTATCGTAGCTAAATAACACGTTACAATTTTAGAAATATTATTGCAATTTGTTATGTTATAATTCATATTTTTTTTAATACATATTTGCTTACCTACGGCCGTAAAATGTCGCGATGACATTTTGGAGTTTTAAAAGGTGACCAACAGATGGCGTTACTTACTAACTAGTAATGAATCGTATACAGCTCCAAGTTTCGTCGTTTATCTGGGTATCTACAATCTATTCTTTTATTATTTTTAGGTACTTATTTATTTTTTTAGGTATCTACTCATGTAGGGTTTTGAAGTTATCTTACTAAGATATTATTCATAGTTAAAAAAATGAACAGAACCAAGTCAATTTACAATAATCACATCGTAATGTTATTCGTCATATAGACTGCATGCCACACTAGGGTAGCCCTAATTGCGTTTTGCGGTTTTAAGCTTTAAGCCCTAAAATAGAAGAACTAATCTGCAATAATCCAATATCCAGACTCTTTTATTAGTAGAGAATGCCCAACTATACTTGCGTTCTTCGCGTGTCTGTCTGTCGCGGCCATCCAATTAAGTTTTCTCAAGTGATTAATGGTCTCTCTCTATATCTAAGGTTTTATATAATGTTCAACCTTTTTAGTGCGAGTCTTTTTATTATACTCACAATGTCAGACGTCCTGTTCAATTACGCGTAGACGGATTACGTGTCACTTTATTAAGGCGTTGTTTAACTACTTAATTGTTTGATGTATTAATTATTATCTCGTTTGCTATATTGGTTGATGGAAATTTAATTTGGGACGCCACAATGGAGTTTGTAATAGGACACATGGGTACTGACGCAACCTTCGCATTCTTTGGAGTAGGTAACGTTTAACAATTAGGGATAAAGTTTTTGAGATATGTACTCTTAGCTGACTTACCACATCTTGCTCGGTACTGCATCAGCAACTTTGGCTGGCCCTAGCAGGCTCGATCTGTTGGCTCTTTCGCTCGCTCTAGCTCTAGCGCTCCGGGTAAGCGATGAGCCCTAAGGTCGGGTCGACGATCGTCTTTCGATCCCCGACGCCCGGAGTATCGCCTATTGCGGCGACTGGGGCTTGAGAAGGAACATAGCCTCCTCAAGCGATCCGCCTCCTGCTTTGCGAGCATAACTGCTTAAGAGAACGAGGAGACGGCATCCCAGTTCCTCTCGCTCCGCACCAAGTGCTCGACTAAGGCCGGGCGTCGCCGCCGCCGATCACTTCCGCGTACTGCGGTGGCTTGGCAACCGGCTACCACGCAACTTGTCGTGGGTTCGATTTAACTCGAGAATAACCCTTTGTTTGCTTTGGTGTAGTGTGCATACATACAGGAGAAAATCTGTTTGTGCGGCAAAATATTTCTTTATAAAAATGTGTATCCTATATTTCATTCTAATGTCTACTAAATACTTATAACCTTATAAAGCTTTTAGTGTTAAAGAATATTTTAGTTTAATAAACCTGGTACAAGGTAATGTTTTGTTATTAATATTCTAATATTGAGTCGGGTTTTATTTATGGCGTTAGCTCAACGCTTTCCTGTTAATTATGTTTTTTATCTAGCCTTTGTAGATTGTTTATCAGCTCAGTATAAAGCCTCGTATCTACTAAGCAACATTTGACGCTCGACATTATAAAATGTTTTTCTACATGTTGCAAGGCGGTTCGTGGCTCGGAACTTTTGCTTAGCAACGTTGTCTATCAGAGCATAAAAGTCGACATCATGTCGCCAAAGGAACTAGTTTTGCAAGGCACTTGCCTACTTGGCGACATTTAATAACCAACTACATGTTGTACCAAAACAAACGACAATCGAGTTTAATGTGGCACGTCAGCTCACAACGTTGCTCGACGTTGCTCAATGGATACGAAACTTTTTGAGGAAAGAGTTTTCAGAGGACTCTTGCTCTGCATGTTTTAAAATGAATGCCCTGGGCGGGGCGAGAGACAGTGGTCAGATTAATTCTTACTAAAAACCACCCTCTCCTGTTCCTTTTCCGACCCTGGATCGGGCCGCGACACATTATTGTGCTTGCACATGCAACCCGGACTAAACCTCGGCTTTAGTAGGTCCCATCTGTGGTGGTCTATATTAGGGCATTGGTTGGCAAACGAGCAAACGCGTAAGCAATCAGCGCCGCCCCTGGAAACCCGCAACAACAAAGGAGTTACGAGTGCGTTGCCGAACTTTTGGGGATTAGGGATTGGGAAGGTGAAGGTGAAGGATTGGGCCATATAATAGGTTCTGGTTGGGCGACCGGCTATCTTCGTTTGCCGCCCACAGACCTGTGACGAGGCTTAAGGTTATGTTTCAATTAGGCACAAATTATATTTAGGACAGTTCTAAATCTATTTGGTGACAAAGGACCAAATTAAATTAGCCAGGTATTGCGTGATAAATTGTAGATATACGACCGTAATGAAGGCGAATAGAATTCCTCTGGAAAATTTCGGGGAAAATGTAGGTAGATATCACAAGCTATTCTAATTAAATACGATGAATTTGATACGACGGGCGTCGTTTTGTATTTTTTGTGTTTTGTTTTTCAGTGTTGGTTCATTATTATCATTATTTTTATAAGGCACATAAATAACGATGTTATGATAAATCACAAAAAGGAGGGCAATATGGTATACTGATTTTAAACAAGAGTATGAGTTAAAGACATTAAGACTTCAAGTGCTTTTTCTTCTTTAATATCACTGTCATTCTATTGATTACCATGAATTCTTTGGTAATGTTTAAAACTGAATTATAGTTGTCCCTAGCATATTGTTAATGTGTAATTGATTTTCACTTATACACAAGAAATAGGACAAGGGGCGGTCTTTCGAATCATTCATCACTCGTGGTAATATTTTCCTTGGTCACACTGCTGTTACAATTATATTTGTCCTGCTTTGTTTATTTTCCTTTTGAAACATCATTTTATAAATGACTAGCTTTTGTTCGCGACTTCGGTCGCGGGGAATAGTGACTTCCTGCAGATTTTTGGTTTAAACACTACCCTATGTCCTTTCTCGAGTTCCAAACTATGTCTACCAAATTTTACACAAATCGGTTCAGTAGGTAGTAGTTAGGCACAAAGAAAAGACAGACAGACAGAGTAACTTTCGCATTTATAATGTTAGTTTGATTATTATGTCTGTGAGGTTCTACCGTTTTAGGACTACACAATGCTTCCCAACACAGTAAATAATATGCATTAACAGCCTGTAACGACATTATCAAACAATGTTAGCGAGAAAACTCGATGGAACCCAGTTCACGTCGTTATATCCATCAATTAATTTCGACTCGAACACAATTCCGACAATCTGTTAATGATTTATAGCGACAACGGCCTTCAAACTGCCGAGTTTCTAGCTGAAAATTTGACAGTCGACTATTTATTCAGGTGGCTTTTGGAAACTCACATAATTTCACTCCACCAGACCGCCGCGGCTTTAAGTTGAACGTCAGAACGAAAGACTACTCGATGTTTGTCTTAACTTCTTGCTCGTATGAAAAGTAACTCCTACGAGATTTGAAGTGTTCATTCTTGTCTCGTGCAACATGTACAGCTTTGTGTAACTTTTTATGACAGCCGAGCGGTTTACTAACTTTCCCGTATACCCATTTCAATGTCCATACACGTTTCAATCTTTGAGCGTTACACCGCGCGATCGCAACGACCGATCTCAAATGTCATGCGCTGTCCAAAAACTGTTGACGCCAACGTTTTCCCAAATTAGATTTTTATCTCCAATGTGAACCGATGATCGGAACGAATGGAATTGAATTCGAAACCGGGAAACGTATCGCGGAGCAGGTTGAGTGCTCAACTCCGGACTCAGCTGGGAATAACCGGCGACTGTTCCATGAAACACATTGAAACATTTCCTGTCGCATTATCGACTGTTTGACTCATACGAGAAACATGTAAGGAGATGTACGTAGAATATGTCTGGGGAAAACGATATAGGCCATCATAAGGGTTGCGATTTTGAGTGTCATGCATTATTAACTTACCGGATGCCGTTGTGCTCAGCATCCGCTATTTATGATCGCAGTTTTTTTAAGTACAGGTAAAGTTAGTTTGTATAAGCTTAGCATATTTTTTATGTAAAGTAAACGGTTTCTGTAAATTAGATTTTGTAGTTACTTACCCACGTTAAGAAAGGTTAGAACTCCACGCTGTAAACAAAAACTTTCCTAATAAGCTCATCATGTTTTCGCCTGAAACGGCTGTAGGAGACAAGTTTTTGTTGAACCAGTCGTCTGTTTGTACCTCGACTTGTGTATGAAACGTACAATTTATAACCTGACCAAAACACGGTTGGTGAGCTA